CGCCGGGTGGCCGAAGCGATTTAGGTCGTGGAAGAGCTCAGGCCGCGGCAGTGGCGTCCACTCGTCGCATGCTGGAAATAAGAAAGAGGAGAAGTTCATAAGATTTTTTTTTTTTTTTTTTAAATGTCAGCGTCTGAAAGCTGGCGCTGAACTGAGCAGGCGCCGCTGAGTCAGCCACTGTAAAAGGTGAACAGTGCCCCCTGGTGTCAAAAAGCCCAAACAGGCAAGGTGAATCCTATGACGTCATTGGTGCAATGTCAAGCAAGGGGAGTGATGAGCGCGCACTCAGATCGCAGGGACGAGCCCAAATGATCCATGAACTTTTAGCTTTGGCTACCCGCTCCAATTTAGACACATTCAGACGTGTCCCGAGAGTAAAATCTCACAAGTCCAACAAATCTTCGAAGGGTGTTCTTTTCAACCGGATAAATTGCCGCGGAGTAAAATTTGGACAGTAGTTCCTGTGGTCCAAACACATTTTTGGGGCGAGGGTGATTATGGGAAAACAAAGAACCACCATTATTTTATTTTACGACTGAAATCACGATGCATTAAAAAAAAAAAAAAAAAACGATGTGACCAACGATGTGACCAGTGATGATTGAACGATTGTACCAACCCAGGCTGTAGGCCATAAAGTCCGAGGAGAAGCACTTGGCGCCGTGACTCATGGAGGTGTCGTTGTGCGTGTTTCCACCGAAAACCAGCATGGTCCCGCTCACTATCACGGCCGTGTGGAGATAGCGGAAGGAGCCGCTGTCCTTCAAAATGGTCCTGCCGCAGAAACAGCCGGCGTTAACGGCCGGCCGGGCTCGACCCCCGATCCGCCGCCCCGCCCGTCCGTTCACTCACTCACCACTTCCTGGTGTCCACGTCCAGCCGGTAGAGGTCTCCGGCCAGGCCGCACTTGTTGGCGCTGAACGCCTTGTAGCCGCCGTGCACGTAGATGGCCCGGGTGGCGTCGTCGAACACGCTGCTGTGGCCGTAGCCGCCCTGGATCAGGGCTCCGTCGGTGGGCACCACGCTCCACTGGTTGCGGTCTGCGATCAACCGCAAAAAGGTTTTAAGACCCCATGACCCGGGTTTTAAGATCCCGTGATGACGTTTCAAAACGCTACGACCATGTCGCAAGACGGTACCCCGAGTTCCAAGATGGCCACGTTTCAAGTTTTGAGGCGCTACGGTCCGGCTCGTCTAACTTACGAATGTTGTACTCCTGCAGCAGGCTCATGTAGCCGTAGAGAGGACAGTGTCCAAAGAGCACCAGCATGACGGGGGCGTCCCCCTCCTGCAGGGGGGATACCACGTGGGCCGAATGCCCCACCACGGCGTACTGCTCCTTGATGCGCGGGCTCAGGAGAACCCAGGTCTGGTTCTGGACGTGGAACACCCACAGCTGGCTGGACACGTTCCCCGTGGAATCCATCTTACCGCCGTACATGTACACTTTGCCCTGTGGAACGGGAAACTCTTTTTTTCCAGTCACCACTCCCAAGAACGCCGTTGCAAATTTGGTGCACGCCCCCCCGGCCCCGCCCCTTACAAATTTCAACAATCTACAGGGCGTCAAACATCAATACTTGTCATCTTCTCAAACTTGGATTTACCTCGTGAAGCGCCACCGAGTGTCCGTATCGAGGTGGGACGGTGTTGACGGACGGGTCCAACGTCAGCCACGACTGGCTGCTTAAATTAAACCTACGACGGCGAGAAAAAAAACCAAACGCCTTCTTCTTCTTCTCACGGCCGCGATTCCCCAAACGCGATGAGGTATTCAGACTCACGCTTTGACCATGTGATAGTCGGAGGCGTTGAAGACGTATCCGCCGATTACCCACATGACGCCCTGCTCCACCACCGCCTTGTGCGAGGCCCTGGCCAGGCCCGGCTCGGAGGCGAAGGCTTCCCGGCTCCAGAAACCCGAGTCGGCCGGGACGGACACGGAGCAGCCGGGGCCTGGGGGGGTGGGGAAAGAAAAGACCAAGGACTTTGATTTGGATCACCTGGGACGAGAAGAAGTTTAAGGTTCTGTTAAGCTATGTTCATACTTCTCACATATTCTGTGACGGGTGTGAGTTGAATTGTTGGTTCTGGTGACCCGTTTTATTTTGGTAGGTTTATTCTTGCTGTTTCTGTCCCATTTTGATTTGTCCGATTTCTCTCTGAGACGGTATTACGCAGCTTTGTCCATACGCTTTTTTTTTTCTTTGTACTTTTGGTTCAGCCATTTTTTGCAGAATTGTCAGACTTGATTTTGGAAGTTTGCTACTTCCTGTTTGTGTTGCATTGCCGTTGCCTTGACAGGACTTTGACGAGCAGCTTTTTGTGAACACGGGACTACAATTTGGATCTTTTGTGGCTGGTGTGAAGCAATTGTTGGCTGTGGTTCTCGTCGCGCATTTTACGTAAGCGGGTTTCTAATTCCTGTTTTTTGGGAACCAAGCATTTTGATTTGGGATCTTTGGGAGTCGTGCTGGTTCAACAGCCATTTTTAAAATCACTGCTACAAATTTAATGGTGGGTTTCTACTTCCCGTTTTTCTTTCATTCCAAGCGTGCTGGTGTGTGAGAAATGTTGGTTGTGGTTCTTGTTACCTGTTATACTTTGGTAGGTTTCTACTTCCTGTTTTGCCCCCATTCCTGATTGCTTGATATGACTCTGCTCGTTCAGCAGCGTTTTGTGAAGAAAGGACCTTCTGTGACTGCTTTGCGGCAACAACGTTGATTCTATTCAGCTATGTATATCCTATCGTCAATATGAACAGGTTTTATTTTGAAAGCTTCCCACTTCCCGTTTTTGCTCCACTTCCACAAGCACTTTAAATTGATTATTTTGTGGCTGGCGTGTAGCAAATGGTTGGTTCAAGTTCTTATTCTGATTTTTGTTCCAAAGCGGTGGGTCGTTGCGTATGCAGCAGCCATTTTTTTCCGTGTGCGCGCGGGCGCAACGGAGCGGCAGGCTCACCTTGCCAACCCCGCAAGCAGTCGCACGTCTTCTCCCGGCAGCGACCTCGCTCGGGGAACCCGCAGTCGTCAGGGCAGTAAGGCACGTCGCAGGCGTCGCCCTTCCAGCCGTCTCGGCACTGGCACCGCGGCGCCCCCGTGGCGTCGGCTAGGCGGCACTCGCCCCGACCCGAGCAGTTGTTGGGACACGTGTTCACCCTGCGAGGGAGGCCAGAACCACACATTGCTGAAAAGCAAATTCTAAATAAAACATCACAGGGCACCTGATGAATTATTGACGCTCACATCTGCTCTTGCGGAATCACAGGCGTGCTCTTTAAAGAGTGGAACACGCGGCAAACGCAAAAAAAAAAAAAAAAAACCCAGAGGGAATTGAGAGGATTTATGTGCTCAAAAAAAAACTCGAATTTGACCTCCAGCATGAAAACAAACCTCATCCATTCAGGTCGATGATTAACAGCGTGTGTGCTTCACACACACAACGTTACCAAACACTTCACGCACCTTTTTTGCCCCACTTTTCATCAGTGACATTCATCAGAATGTGACCCCGTGATAAGTATATTTACATGTCATTATTTTAATGTCCATATATTTGTCTAAACATTTGAATGCACTCTGCAACTATTATGGGATGTCAGCAGTAAATGATCATGATAGCATGAAGAGGCCAGAGATGATTGAATTCAAGGCATTTTGTTTACGTCCAGAAATATCCTTCAGTCTACATTTGTTTTAAGTCGGTTCAAAATCTGACATTCAGTCATACACAAAGAACAAACTGTCGTATGTTTCAAGCCTCCAAAATCCAAGAAACCACTGACGCGTCTTATGAACATCACAACAGAGGAGCGGGATTGTCATTTTGCGCCGACGTGAAGAACGCCGTTCGGACCACTCAAAACGGCGTCCCGACAGCGTCCTCGGGTCTCTCACCTGTATGAAATGTTGAATCCGGTCAGGTTATAGGCGGCGTCGCTAAAGAAGTGCAGCAAGGCGAAGCCAGACTGCGACGCCACCTCTGGAACCGTCTCGTTGCCGTAACTCTCGGGAATGATCAGACCGCTAAAAACAAACAAAATCGGTTAGCGGAAAAACCTCCGTTGGGCCGCTGTCTAGCGATAACGGCGGTGGGAGTACCTGAAAGCGGCCAGCAGGGGGGCGTAGATGGAGTCGCCATCATAGACGTAAAGGTGGTCCCAGCTGCACTCGGTGGCAAAATGTTCAAAGCGTAAGCGAAGGACGGAATTTGGACTGAAAAAGAAAGGGAGGACCAATGTTAGCATCCAGCTGGTAGCCTGGATGAACGTGTTAGCTTACCATTAGCTCCCTGGCGGTGTATGTTGTGTTAGTTTCCTTGACGAGTACGTTAGCTTCCTGTGTGCTCATCTCCAGCAAATAACTTGAGCTCCATAGGAAATATTAGCTCACTGTTAGCTTCCACCTAGCTTCCTGGTTGGGTATCTTAGCTTCCTGTTAGCATCTTGGCAGTATATGACATGTTAGTTCAAACAGTAGGTGACTTTTCCATTTGGTGTTCGTTAGCTCCCTGAGAAACAGAAGCAGCTTCCCTTTAGCTCCATGGAAAACTTTGTTAGCCTTCCGCTAAATCCCCAGAGAGGTATGCTAGCTGCCCGCTAGCTAATTGTCAGCCTATGTTAGCTTTCCATTATCTCCCTGGCAGAGTGGCCTAAGTCCAGTTGGACACGCAAGGATTTTTCAGATCTTCAAAAAAAGATTGTCTGTCAAAGACCCCACGTATGCGTTGAGCGGTTTTGATAGTAATGTCAACACAGAACACCAGACAGACCAAGATTCTCTTCCACCGCGGATCGAAAATCTAATCCTCAAATACCTGATCCAAAAAAAAAAAGACAAGTCAGAATTGAGTCTCCAATTCGGCAACCGGCTGAAGTTATTATCCTTTGTTTTGGGCGACGTGTATTTTTATTTACCATCGGTTAACCTTCTTCAGGTCGCTTCTTAATTGGCTCCATTCCATTTCACGTCACAATTCACGGAGTCATGACGTTAGAGAACAGCTTTTTCCTCGCAAATATTGATTAGATTTCACATTTGAGATTGCTGGTCCTGACCGACCCATTTTGTACCCCACTCTTGGGACACATCCACTCTTAACACACTTCAGACCACAAGTCAATCTGATAAAGACAAGCTTTGAAAACATACTAGAATCTGTCATTTGTTGTCATTTTCATTAGCTCCCCGGCAGAAAACTTTAGCTGCCAGGACAATGACATTGCCTTTTTCTTTTTTTAATTAAAAAAGATGGCCAGGAGAGTTTGAAAATGTGTTCGTAGTGTGTGTTGTATTTTAAACGCGCTGCAGGTTGATGATTAACTGACTTCTGTTTTCCATTCGCAGAAACACTTCAGCGGCTGCCCCAGTACACCTTTGTCAATTATTAGACTATCAAAGTATTATTGCAACATAGTTGTCTTATCATAGCTGGTGTGCGGTCGCACAAAAAAAAAAAAAATCTATACAGCCCTGTTCAAATGACAGAACTTTTGTGATCCAAGAAACAAGACAGAGACAAATCATTTCAAATTTTTTGACAGCCATTAGTTTTTGTATTTACCCGTACATCTCCACTGGCGAAATCGTACGAGCGATGCACAGATGCAACCGCACTCACCGTCCTTCAATGAGCCAAGTGCATTTGGTCTTGTGCTTGTAGTTCCCGGGTCCGTCCGATAGGAAGCCGGAGGGCGCCGTCAACCTGGAAGCCAAAGATACAAGGCTTGTTGGGAGACATTTATGGACAGAGGTTTTTCATCCATGGGCCAAACCGGATGGCTTCGTCGAAACAAGGTCGGCGAAAAACCATTTTAGATGGCTCATCAGTTTCCCCTTGCCGCACTTCCACGTGTTGCTACCCACAAAGGAACACAAACTCCCTCAACGGGCCAGACGCTCCCAGTTGCGGCTCCAAAGCCAACCCGCGCAGTCTTCCAAACAAACAAATGGCAACAACAGCAACACTTTAGCTTCAAACGATCAAAGGAAATAAGCCCTTTGCATTGGAGAGTCTTTCAATTTGACATTCCTAAAGGCAGACAGGGATGAAATTTACTTGCGTGTTCAGTGCAGAAACATCTCTATCGTAGCTTGTTTGTACAGTTTGAAAATGCCGCTCCTGTTTCCTTTCTTTGACAATGCAATCAATGAATCGCAGATCAAACAAACTTACAATGAGGATAAACACAAATTGATTTATCTCAATAGCTCTGATCACGAGCTGCAATTGCAGACTGCTGACCGCTAAAAACTTCCTGTGATGTAGGTCATGCGCCACTGTAGGTTAAAGGTGACCTACGTTTTATTTGATTAAATACTCTTGTGGACGTCAAACTGATGCTTTGGCTGCAGTGCACACAAACACTAAATATATAATGCACACACACACACACACTTTTTCCATTTCCCCCTACACCCTTCGCAGTCTACGTGGAACCAGTCTGCAGAAAACTGGTCGACAACAATCGACTGGCTGGACACTCCTGCATGAAATGAAAGACAAGTCAAAAAAATTAATAACTGTCCATCTTTAAAACTCATCTTAAAAAGCCATTTATATTCTTTGGCTTTCAAGCAGAGCATGAGGCATTGTTCGAGTGTTTTATTGTGTTTACTGTTTTTGTATGTTTTTACTTGATGAAGGGCACTCGGTATGCAGCTGTGGTGTGGTTGCCTTTAAAGTGCTCCCTAAATAGAGTTGATTCGAGTAAATTCATTGTTATTATGATGTGAAAATGTCAACGCACGGTAAGCTTGTCTAAAAAAACAGTTTTAAGTTTTTTGAAAAAAAAGTTCAAATGCCAAGGCGGAAGGCTCTTTACTTTAAGTCACCCCCACTCCACAAAAAACAACAACAATCTGCACGAATTAAGTCGTCTTTTTCAAGAACGAAGCTGAAGTTTTCCCTTAAGAGAGTCGAGTCGTATCTTTTGCAAGGCTTTAAAAATAAAATACTATTGAACTACGATGAGAATGCAGCAAATGTCACGTTTACGTGATTCAGGTGTTAAGAAGGCACCGCCATGTTGCTCAGGTAAGACGACCCCGCGCTTAAATCTCATCGATGTGTCGACGGGCGCCAAGTCGCCTGTCGGTCAGCCGAGCGGCTCGCAGTCGTCGAACCGGCGTCTCCGCCGGTGCCAGTCGCGTGCGGAACTCCGTACCTGAATCTTCCTCCGCAGTGCTGGCACTGGTCCCCGACCCAGCCGGGGGAACACACGCAGCCGCCCGTCGCCGCGTTGCACTTGCCGTTCACGCACGGCTTGTCGCACTCCTTGTCCGCCGCCGAGCCTCCGGGGAGCCCCGCCGCCGCCACGAGCACCACAAGCACCCCGGCCGCCAGGCTCCGGCCTCCGGGGCCGGCCAGCGAGCAGGCCCGCCGCCGAAGCCGCGTCGTCCCGAACATTTGTCTCGTTAAAAGATGGCTGCTCGAGCCCCCAGACGCACCGCTAGCTTCGCGGTGGGCGCCGCCGCCGACGCCGTCAGCCGCCGGTCGAACGCCCCCGTCGGGTTAGCGGAGCGGAAACGCGTCGGTCGTGGTCGTGGAGATGACGAGGCCGGGTTCAGGCTTCCATCGCGGGCACCATATTACATGCTGGGACTGTTTGTGTTGGCCATCTCGCCGCACCGAGCCGCATCTTGACGTCCAGAAGTGACGTCACGGTGGCGGAAGTTCGAAGACTGGAGGTGGGAGGGCGGAGTGAGGAGAGGGAGGGGCGATGGGGGATGCGACGCGCGCACACCTGAGAACTTCCAAGCGACTCACAACACAATTAGGCTCCGTTTTAGGACGAAGAAGTTGGAATGTGATCACGAAAATACCATTTTCCAAGAATACCTCACCTTCAGAGATTGCAATTTTACGAAAAAAATGGGAATCACGAGAAAAAAAAAAAACGTGATGTCTGAAAAAGCTGTCATTTTCACAGCAACGCAAATTGTAATTTTCTAAGAATTACGTCAGAAGAGAAAAAGTTACAATTCACAAGAATGTAATCATGGTCATCAGAAAAAAAATAGAATGCCATAATTTGGAATGATCATATTAGAAGCGACGATGTTGCAATTGACAAGAATGTAATCATAATCATCAGAGAAAATAAATTGTAATTTTCCAAGAAAATGACAAAGTTGTAATTATGCTAGAAATACACACACACACATACACACACACTGAAATGATATCAAATCTAAATGTGATTCATGGACAAAGGACAATACATTACAATATATATTTTTTTCCAACAGATTTATTAAAGTCAGACTTGTAAGAAGTCATATTCTCTTGTGAATAAACGCCAACCCCAAACGGATTGATCAACAGCATGGAACATAAATAAAAAGCAAAATCAACATATTTACATTTCTGTATGAACAGAAAAAATGTGTGCCTTTTCACCCCGAGAAATATGTTTTTTTTTGTGTTTTGTTTGTTTTTGCAGAGTAGGACCAAGCTACTTGTCCCATGATATCCACCCCCCCCCTCCTTCTCTGTCAGAGCCAAACAAAAGGCAGCGAAACCTCCGCAATCAGGAGATGAACAATCAATGACGATTTGACTTGGACAATGAAGATGATGATGAGTTGGTGATTGTCCGCAACATTGTGTGCGTGCCTGGCTCACTTTAGAAAAATGGCGCAGAAGGCATGAACATCACTTGACTTCTGAAAACGCCAGATAACAATTGGAACAACAACAAGAATAATAATAACAAAAACAAACAAACAAACAAAAAAATTGCTCTTATCCCCAAAACGTTAGAAAACAACCATCTTGGAGCACACGACGGGTCATGTGACTCTCAGCACTTGGCGAGCAGGTCACGTGACCGCCATCAGGTCCAGGATTTCGCCGGCTCACGTGCCAAAATTCGGCAGTGGCTTCTTCAGCCCACGCTCAACACCACAAACATTACAATCAGAATTACAAAATCAAGTCATACAATTAGCAGAAAAAAACTTTGGAATATTCAGAAGGAAAAAAAAAGTATTTTCCCTCCTAAGACTTAATTCGTGAGAAAAAAATAATTCATCCAAGGAAAAAAAGTTGTCAGAGAATTAAATTTTATGAGCGGGGGAAAAAAGTTGTACTTTTGCAAGCATAAAATTCACTTGGGGGAGGGGGGACAGAATTGGTTGTGAATTTAGTGGGGGCAAGTCGTTATGAGAACGACATTGACATTTTGGCAGAAAAATTGAGTCCGAATTTTCTGACAGTTAAATCGTAAAAGCCCTACTTTTCCAACAATAATGTTGTGATCAGAAAAAAGTCATTTTATGAAAATGAAACGTAAATTGTGAAAAAGAAGTGGTAATTTTCTGGAAATGAAAAAATAAAATGTATCTGTTTCCCTGGAAGTCATCCATTTGAGAGAGTGAAGTCATAATTTTGAGAAAAACTATCAGGAAAAAAAAGTTGTAACTGTCAGAGAAAAAAAAGTGTACGTTTTGTCAGTTGTATTTTTTCTACAACAAAGTTATAATCTGATCCTACAGAAAAACAAAAAAGAAAAAAGTGAATGTATTTTTCCAGGAATAAAATTCTAGTAATATTTTGTGGGGGAAAAAAAAAACGTTCACCGACAAAAGTCGCTATTTTCAGGGCCCTCCAAAAATAGGAACTTTTCTGAGAAGAGTTGAAATTTTCCCAGAATAAAGTCATAGTTTAATGGAAAATTTGAAAAATGTCATAATTATGCGAGAATTGTCGCAACAGGAGAATTTGGCATTAACCGTGCAAAGATTTTTTAACTTGATTTTCCCACCACTCTTCTTTTCAGCATGGTTCCTCATACTTGGGGCATGCCCACATGTACAAGGCTGGATTGAATTAATAATAATAATAATAATAATAATAATAATGGCACTTGGAGTTTAGAAAGAAAATAATTCCAATATAAAAAAGATGTGTACATGCCCAAGCACTAGGGGGCACTGTACAGGCTAACTGTGAGGCCATTTTGCAATTGGAGAAGAACAAAACCAATAGAGAAAAAATGTTGGAGACAACAGCCATCTTGGGAAAACAGACCACAAAACTGCAGTGAGAAGCGAGCGGTCGCTACGATAAGCGAGTGGTTGTCACACTTCCGAGGTTGCGCTGAAACCTTCCCCGAAGTGCATGTCCCGCCGACTGCTATCATCCTACTTCCGCTTCCAAGCGGAACGTGGCCCAACGTCCGCCCAACAACCACCAAGACTGAAGGAAGCCTTTCACACCGAGCCACTCATTGCCAAAATTTTGCGACAAAAATGTTAGAAATTTGTGAGAATTGACTTTGAAGTATGTGGTGAGGGAAAACGGTGACATTTTGTAAGGGGGGGAAAAAAAATCGAATTTTTGGGAGTTTCACGCAGAACAGCGTCATTTCTAGCTGTATTTACAAAGAGGAAAAAAAAGCGGCTCTTCTCATGTCAGAGCCTGCCTGTCACAATAGGCACACATGAGGGTTAAAAAAACAAAATAAATACAAAATACCAATGTGCTTGCTAAAAATGGTGTGGTGGATGTTCAATCGCGGCAACTGGACTCTTCTCGTTTGTTGCCTTTTTTTTTTTCTCCGATGCTATCAGGCTAACCATTTGAAGTTAGCTTGACTTGTCAAGCGGCACCGATACCAGCTCAGTGTGAAAGGGGTCGTAACAGATGTAGAGTAGTAGTAGTCAAAAGCACTGGCTGGGGCCATTCATTTAGTCGAAAGGCAATTCAGATCCTCTCACATCCTCTTACAGTTCAAACGAAATATGAATAAAAGAGCGTCTTTCTTTTTCTTTTTTGGTCTTCCAAATCAGGCATGAGACTGAAGGCATCTCCTCGTGGTTGTCATACCTGAGGTGTGGCGTGTGTGTGCGTGTAACCATGGTGTCGGGACTGAAGCATGACCGGAGGAAGGGGGTAAAAAATAGTTCAGAGAAGCACTTGGCTGAATTCAGTAGCAGTAGTGTAGAAAATGTCGTTTCCTTGGGGATTGGGGGGGTTCCGTCAGGTGGCGGAGGGCTGTCGCGGGAGGCGTCCTCCTCCTCCCCCGCCGCCGCCGCCCGTCGATGAGGTGCTGTAGGTACGCGAGCGCTGTCGCACGGCCGCCTGCCGGCACGGAAGCTCCAAATCCCGGAAGAGCGGCAGGCCGGTGATGTCCGCCGCCTCTGGACGCTCGCCCGGGATGAGCGACAGCATGCTAAGCACCATGCTCAGCTAACACACGCAGAAAACAAATATGCTGGTCATAAAAAGACACTCATAAATAGAATGGGAAATACATTGTAATAATAGGAGGGTAATATTGGAATCTTATGGGGGGGGGCAGGTTGCAATATGCTCAGCTAAGATAAAACTAAACCAACAGCATGTGAACAGGTGCTACGCTAACGCTAGTGAGTAAAATAGAACAGTAAATAGAAGTTGCCGTTTTAAAGGGAAGAAGTGGCAATCTGATCAGCGAAAACAAACACAAGCGACACGCAAACAGGAGCTACGCTAACTCTAATGCTACTGCCAGTGCTAACGCCGCTACTAAAAACACAATCATAAATATTGGGTCACATCCAGACTCTCGAGTTGTAATTTGACAGGGAAAAAAAAAAAGTCGCGTAAAGAGGAAAAAGAAGTCACAATATGCTCAGAAAAAACAAACAAACAAACAAACAAACAGTACAGGATCAACTTTGACAAGAATGATGTCATTATTTGACACATATTCCTCAAACCCAATATGAATCAAAATGCCGTGTTTAGACTAGTGGAGGCGCATCACAACTTATGACTGTCAAGAAAGTTTTGGGTTGACCTCCATGTTAATGTCCTGGCCCAAAAAGAACAATTCTTTTTCTGTTTCAATCAAACTTGAGTGCGCGTGTACGAAAACGCATCAAAAAACTAGTTGCATTTTACTGCCAATAGGTGGCAGCAGAGGGCCACTGACCTCGTGGAAGTTGTTTTTGGAGAAGGATTCTGGGAAGCGCAGCGACCGAACCTCCATCAACGTCTGTAAGAAGGGAAGACAACAAACACATGTGAACGGCATCACCCAAAGAAATGCAAACAGCAACACACAAAAATTGGCAACGTTAGCATGCTACTTCTGAAAAGTCTGGTAGCTTTTGTAACCTTGCGAGTGGATTCTTTCATCTTCCATGGGAGTGAGGGGGTGTACAGTTAATGGCATCACCTTCCTGACAGGGTTGAAGTTAGCGGAAATATACTACAGAATCAAGATTTTGCCACTGCCTGAGTGGATATCATCTTCTGCCTCGCAAGCGGGATGATTTCAAGTTCGGACGATGCTAAAAAAACAAGTTTCAAGTGACTGGAGTGAGTACTGTCTAAATCTTGCGATTTCGCGAGAAACTGGTACGGGGATGACGGGAAGAAGGTTCCTCGGGCAGCCAAAGTTAATGCAGCACATTTGATGGACTCACCCTCACTCTTTCCATCTGCGTCCGAAACGGGTAGAGCAGCTCAAACAGGATCAGGCCCAGAGAGTAAATGTCCACTTTGTGCGAGTACGACTGTCCGGAGAGCTGCCGAGGGAGAAACAACAACAATAACAACAACAAGAAACCGAATTAGAGGAGGGAGCCATGTTGGAAGCACACATGTCCTTGCCTGAACGACTCACCTGCTCGGGGCTCATGTAGAGTTTGGTTCCCACCTGGCCCGTGTGGCGCGTGAGGAGCGGGGCCGGCGTCAGGGCGCACTGCTCGCACTCATCTTCCTCGTGCTCCATGGCCGTCACCAGGCCGAGGTCGCCCACCTTCACCACGTCGTCCATGGTGAAGAAGATGTTGGACGGCTGAGGAGCGCAACGTGCCGTCAAGTGAATGAGCGCACATCTACCCACGCAGGCACGAGGAGAACATGCAAACTCCACACAGGAAAGCCGGAGCCGGAATCGAACCTGGTACACCTCTGCACTGGGAGGTCGACGCGGTAACCATTCGACCGCCTGGCCGCCATTTAAGCTTACTGTACATGAAAAAAAAATGACCTCTTGATTTTCAATGTTTTTGTTTTCTGAGTATTCTAAAAGCGGTATTAAGAGTCAACGGAATGCGGTTCCCTGGGCGGCTAAAGTTAGCACAGCACCACACCTGAAAAATCCTGTCAATTGTGACCTTCGGGATGTTTCTGTCTTCCATACTAAAACAATTGACGAGAAAAGAAAAGTTAGCATGATCCTTTAGGCACCAGTTTTGTATTTGTTTTTTAAATAATATTTAGTTTTGATATTTCAAAAGGTATTTATGGATAAAGGTATACAGAAGGTCATGGTTGCTTGGTGCAATTTGGCTACTTGGACAGCATTTTTGAAATGTAGAGTTAGCCCTTTCAGCGCCAATTTTGAAGCTTGCGAGTGGACACTATGCTAAAACTGGTTAATGGAGTGTCATGTTTCGGGAGCCAGTTCAGGGATGCCAGTCGGAGTTTTGTGCTCCCTCTTATGAGTGAGAACCAGTCAAGAGGCGAGCAGCGGCATTTGGGACCAACTGGACATGCTTCATGGAGGACTGGCTTCAACTCACTCTCCAGTTTGAGACTCGCATCCATTTTTGTTGCCTTTGGGGTGGATGTTTTCATCCCGACTCGGCAAAAAAACTTCCAAGTGAATGGAGTGAGGTTACTCGGTCCGGTAAGAATTTAAATTGGCTTTCGTATGTTGGAATTTGTCAACAGGAACCTGTACTTTCATTTGCACGCGCGGCTTGTGCATTTAAGTTGAAACGGTGAGCCCTGAGCCCCGGGTTCCATTACTTTTGTGGGTATCGTTTCAGTCCCGTCCGCGCTTGGCGTGTTTACCTTGAGGTCCCTGTGCATGAGGCCCTTGCTGTGCAAGAAGTCGACGGCTTCGGCAATCTGCAGGAAAATGTCCAGACACTGGTTGTGCTCCCTCTGCTCGGGGAGGCAGCGCCGGGCCATCCAGTCCTTCAGGTTCTCCTTGCGGCACAGCTGCATTTGGATGTACAGGTACACCTGCGGACAAAACGGAGACACGTGAACGTCGTTCAAATTCAGCAGCGAGCCGTTTTTGACTCCGGAATCGATGTGGACTTGATGACGCAATACGTTGAACTTTCTCGCTTATCTTGCACCCCACAAAAAAAAAAATTGATTAAAAACAACTAATACTACAGCGAGTAAACTCTAAAGGAAAACAAAACATTTTTGAAAAAAACAAACAAAAAAAAAACAAAAAACTCGTTCTCACAACTCGGAATTGATAAAAACTAGTGCTGTCAATTTAACGGATTATTATCGGCATTAATTTAAAACAATTTTAACTCGATTAATTTTTTTTAACGCAATATTAATGCGGCACCACATCACAGCGGATGTTAAGTTGCTCTAAAATCATGAAATGTGCTCCAAGTTTGAATAACTGCTCCAAGTGAAAAATGTTAATGTCAAATTGAAAATCGAAATTGTTGTTTCAGTAAATATTTGAATTTTGCACAAAGAAAACGGATCCACGATTCCATGTTGATGAGAGCATTAAAATGGGAAAAAATAGGAGAAAAAGAAATCAAACGAAATTTAGAATAGATAAAAAAAAATCTGTGATTAATTACGGCCAATTCTGAGTTAACTATGAAATTATAAATTTGATCGCGATTAAATTTAATCGTTTGACAGCACTACTAAAAACAAAAGTCAAAATGAAATAAAAACCAAGAAAAAAATAAAAAACAATTTTAACCCTGAACCAATTTTGGAGTCTGGAAACAAACATTTACAAGCGGCATCAAAATGGTGAACCTTGGGAGACGGTTGCGCTTGTTGGCTGGCCAGAGTCACGGGCAGAGCCAGGGCCAGCGAGTTGGGCCGAGGAGGCGAGGAAGAGGAGGGCTGGCCGTCCTCGGGCCGCGGGGTGCGCGGCGAGGACGAAGCGGTCCCCCCGACGCTGCGCGGGTCTCGATGGGTGGCGGCGGAGGCCGAGTCCTCCTCCGCATCCGCTTCCACCTCGGCGTCGCGGTCGCATCCCGAGTCCTCAAAAACGATGTCGAAGGAGGACGAGGTGCAGTCGCTGGGCCGGTGTGGCAGGCACAGATCGAATGAGTCGGGTGTGTCCGGGCGGTCCGGCTCGGCCTGGCTGTCCGGTTCGGACCCGAGGCTGTCCTGGCCCAGAAGAGGGTGCGGGGACGCGTTGCCGTTGGTGCCCGAGCCCGCGGTGGTGTCGGAGCCGTCGACGAGCGACGGGCGATGCCGAACGTGCCCGTTCACCATCGGAGCAGCGGCGCCGGCGCCCGAGCCGCTGCCCGGTGGCGAAAAATGGGACACGGGCACTTTGACGGAGAGCGGCTCCATGTGCTCCACGAAGCTCATTGGCGACTCGGTGACACTACGAGACAGAAATACGTCAACTCGGTCTAAGCGACTTCGACTTGGAACGGCATTTTCGGTTTCACGAGCGAGTATGACTACGTCGGGTCTTACCTGGTGTCTTGCAGCCACCTGTGGTCCATCCTCTCCTGCCAGCCCTCGGGAGGGCTCTCCTGCCAGGCGTTGAAGTAGCGAATGATGCCGGGATGCTCCAGCTTGGCCAAGGCCTTCACCTCCCGCATCACCTTCTCGCGCGCCACCTCCCTGCGGGAGCCATAGACCGCGTTTGAACAACACTGTGAAAACCGCCTTGACGTCGGAGCCGCGCCGCCGCCACCTGTTGGGCAGCCGGATCCTCTTGATGGCGTAGTTGCAGTCGTCCACTTTATTGCGCGCCTCGAAGACCACTCCGAAGCCCCCGCGCCCGAGGCACTGCACGGGCTCAAAGTCCGTCAGGTACCTGAAGAGAGGTGCGTACGCACGCATGACCATACCCGCTCTCTGTCGGGAGCTCATTTGGTAGTCGTGAAGCGGTTAAAACGGCGCTTTACGCTAATGACCTACCTGGACACGTATTTGCTGCAGCGCGTTTCCTCGGCATCGGGCTCTTTGGATTCGACGACCTCGAGGTCAGTCTTGTCGGTCTGGCACTGTGTCTCAGACTCTTTACGTTGCTTCAAAACACACACAAAAAAAGGGAAGGACACAGGCATCAACTCAGTTGAACTTGTAATCTATTAGCGGAAAACACAAAATGACCATCTTAAGTTCTTAAGCTTCCTGGTATGACGGTTTCTTTGCTCGGAAAATCGTTGATCGTTTAGTTTGCCCTAACAACAGACCTGCAACCAGCCCAAGGTGTACCCCACCCCACTTTTTTCACCTCAAGTCAACAAGTAAGAGGCTCTAGTCCAAAGTATACACTGAATCTCTCGCCAAAAGTTAGGCGGTATAGGCTACCGTCCAGGGTGAACACCGCTTCTCTTGCCAAAATAAAGCGGGATCGACTCCAGTCCATGGTGCACACCTCTTTTCTCACTTTAAATCAACTGGGAGAGGCTCCAGTCCAGATGATACACCACTTTTATGGCCTAATGTCAATTAGGAAAGGCTCCAGTCTGGGCTGAACCCCACTTCTCTTGCCAAACGTCAGGTGGCCGCAGTCCAGTTTTCTGCCCATCTGCTCGAGACCAAAATCAGCTGGGACGATGTCCTGGCTTGTCGCGTTTAAAGTCAGCTGGAGTCGGCTCAGGTCCAGGGCGCACCCCGCTTCTCTTGCCTAGAGTCCACTGGGATAGGCACCAGTGCAGGTTGTACTTCACCTCTCTTGCCTTACATCAGCTGAATATTCATTTTCAACACCGCCGAAGGGGTGTTGGGGTGCCGAAGTCAGTTAAGACCAAGGCTCACCTGCCTCCTTAATGAGAATGGCCTTTCCTCGGATTTCTGATTGGCTCAAATGCTTTTGGGGGTTCCGCGGCGCCACCTGCTGCTTTGTGTGTACTTGGGGGGGGGACCCTTGATGGAGTCGGGATCATATTTACCCTGACGCCAACGGAGGCCGACGGGTGGAAGAACTTGCGTACGATGTAGGTGGTGGCGGTGATGCAGAAGACGATGGTTCCCAGGATCTCCTTCCACCAGGGCAGGAGCAGCACGGGGTCTTTGTTCCTGCCGCCGTCGGGCTGTGCCCCGCTTCTTTTGATCACGCTCACCGCGCTGTCCCGCTTCTCCCGGTAGCGCTTGCTGTAGGGGAAGTGGTAGCCGTTGTCTACGGAAGGAAGAGAGGCGGGTCAAGATGGTTGCTCGGACCGACTTCCGGGTCCAGAGTCTCACCGTAAGGATACTGCAGGATGGACAGAGCTCCGTTGCTGTACTCGTCATGGGAGAACTTGTCATTGTTCAGACACTTGTCGAATTCGTCGAAGCCGACCAAGGCCGGAGTCCGAGACGGGGAATCTGTGGGAAAACAGCGTCGGCCAGGGTTGTCGTGTGTCATCATCATCCTGGCGTTGCGTGCGTGCGTGCAAGCAAGCCGCTCGACTCACGGATAAGAGGCTTCCATTTGACAGTCGGTAACGCTATGATGTCCTTCTCGGACCCGATGGCTTTTGACGGGAACTTTTCGGTGATCCTCACCGAGGATTGGAGGTAGAGTTGACCCTGGAACATCCCTTACATCGGGGGGAAGGCACATGATGCAACGGTGAACCCCAAAATACTCGCGATAAAACAAATTCATTTTGTTCCATTCTTTTCTGCTAAGCTCGAAGGTGGCATCAGATATTGGATCGGTTGAATTTTGGTGTCAAGGAAGTCAAGTGGTGACTTGGGATATAAGTTGATTTGGTTCTGTGACCAGGCTGCATCTCAAATCATGTTTCCTCACGGAAATGAATGCAAATGACATTAATACGTTGCAGCCCCCCCCCGCCCCCCTCCACATCCCATAAAAACAAAAAATATTTGAACGTGTCATTCAATTAAAAAATAGCAATCTATAATACTGCAACTTGGCCACATGGGGGCGCACACATACCCAGGTAAACGCTGGACGCCGAAGCATCTTTGGAGGCGTCTGGATTGTCGCCGTCGTCGTCCTCCTCGTCCGTTTCCGACTGGTTGCTGTAGGCCGTGTCGTCAAACAGGCTGATGGGGGTGACTTGGCCTCCGCCCACCAGCCAGGCAGAGGCGATGGGAGTGCAGAACTGCGACAAGAGGAGTCATTTGGTACCAGGTTGACTCTTGTCCGCGACCAGCTGGGCCTCAATTTGAGCCCGGAGAAGCCTGACTTTTTCCGTCCCGTGACTCACCTGATGTTCCCAGACCAGCTGTCCATCGGGCTCGGTGCTGAAGGCCATCACCTTCCAATCGGGGACGGACACTTTGATGACCAGGTCCAGGTTCTGGTTCTTCTTGTTGTCCGCCTGTTCTTTGGACTCCTCCGTGATAATTCTCTGACGCTTCGCCCGCCGCCAGGGGTCGCCGCTGGCCATCTCTGCCTCCAGGAAGTTGATGGCCGACTGCGCCTCCGGCAGGAGTTTCAGCTCAAAGTTTCCCACGCTGAAGTTCCACCTGAGGACGAAAAATAAGCGACGCTCTCATTGGGTGTCAGATGCATGAACCCCAAAATACTCGCGATAAAACAAATTCATTTTGTTCCATTCTTTTCTGCTAAGCTCGAAGGTGGCATCAGATATTGGATCGGTTGAATTTTGGTGTCAAGGAAGTCAAGTGGTGACTTGGGATATAAGTTGATTTGGTTCTGTGACCAGGCTGCATCTCAAATCATGTTTCCTCACGGAAATGAATGCAAATGACATTAATACGTTGCAGCCCCCCCCCGCCCCCCTCCACATCCCATAAAAACAAAAAATATTTGAACGTGTCATTCAATTAAAAAATAGCAATCTATAATACTGCAACTTGGCCACATGGGGGCGCACACATACCCAGGTAAACGCTGGACGCCGAAGCATCTTTGGAGGCGTCTGGATTGTCGCCGTCGTCGTCCTCCTCGTCCGTTTCCGACTGGTTGCTGTAGGCCGTGTCGTCAAACAGGCTGATGGGGGTGACTTGGCCTCCGCCCACCAGCCAGGCAGAGGCGATGGGAGTGCAGAACTGCGACAAGAGGAGTCATTTGGTACCAGGTTGACTCTTGTCCGCGACCAGCTGGGCCTCAATTTGAGCCCGGAGAAGCCTGACTTTTTCCGTCCCGTGACTCACCTGATGTTCCCAGACCAGCTGTCCATCGGGCTCGGTGCTGAAGGCCATCACCTTCCAATCGGGGACGGACACTTTGATGACCAGGTCCAGGTTCTGGTTCTTCTTGTTGTCCGCCTGTTCTTTGGACTCCTCCGTGATAATTCTCTGACGCTTCGCCCGCCGCCAGGGGTCGCCGCTGGCCATCTCTGCCTCCAGGAAGTTGATGGCCGACTGCGCCTCCGGCAGGAGTTTCAGCTCAAAGTTTCCCACGCTGAAGTTCCACCTGAGGACGAAAAATAAGCGACGCTCTCATTGGGTGTCAGATGCAAAAATAAGGCTCCAAAATGGTATGTACTAAAGATGTTCGAGATCACATTTTTTCCAGACTGATATCAGTGCAAGTAGTCACTCTTGACTTGCCAATGAGTCAAACCGCCACATACTGGCGAGAAGGACTTGCCCGACGTCAAATATCAGGTGGTTAGTATCGGCAGAATACCGAGGACCCGATCCCTTGAAATAGATACCAAGACCGAGCATCGCACTTATGACTACGCACTTTTCCATTCCTGAACGGGGCCTGATGGCTCGGACCGTCTTCTGGGTCCTCTGAAGCAGGAGCACATCTTCGGCCTCCTCCGTTTCCTCGGGCCTCCAGCGGCTGCAGCCCATCGCGGAGCAGATATAGCGCAGCTAAAGAGGAGGACGACGACTAAATTAGGGTTGGACACGGTGCACGCTTTGCGCTAACTGAGCTGAATTGAAGTCAGCAAAGTCCCAGTGACAGGACATCTGTAGAAAATGATCCGGAGAGATGATTCCGTGGTGTGAGCTCGCTTATTAATAAATGAAAAAAATAAAGGGGGGGAAAAAAACAAACAAAAAAAAAAAAAAGAATACAAAAACTAAACTCTACTCAATTGTTTGAAAGCAATTGTTCCGTGCGTAGCCCGCATCCGATCTGACCTTTCCGCTGTAGGCGCCCAGGCCGTAGGTGGTGAGCGACTTGCCGCCGACCAGGACGGTGTCTTCTCCGATGCGGTAGGACGACTCCAGCAGAGACTCCACGCTGAAAGGCACTGCCTCCATACTCTCGCGGTCGCGGTTCCACTGGAACAAGGCGCCGTCCAGAGACGGGATCACCATCTTGCTGCCAAACACCTACGATGGAGACCGACAAAGAAAATTAATTAATTCATTAACACGTTACCCAAGGCATTAATATTTCAAGACAGAATTCAACTTACTCATCCAAGTGACTGTGCAATACTAATTTGGTCATTCAACAACACCGGTAGCCTGTAAAATCTAAATCAGTCCTTCAAAATAAAAGCATCCTGGTAAAGTACAATAAAAGCATTCACATACCCAAAAGTCAAAACATAGAGTCCCGTGAAACTCAGAAATGGAGGGCAAGTTCATGGAGCTGTGGGAGGCCTGAGAGCGATTGTCGGCGGCAACTTTTCTATGGTCAAAATTCACCGCATTTTCTTTCGTAAAACTGGTCATTGCACCTCCGATGCCGATCGCAACCGGTGCAGTGTTTTTACTGTAAAACTTGCTCTCGTCACTGGCTCCTCTTTGTATTCCGGGGCTGAGTGCGTCATTAGCAAGAGCGTTGGAAGCTAACAGAATGAAGAGAGGTCTTGTTGATTTGCTTCCACTTTGCTTGGAATTGTGATTTGTCTTCGGTTTAGCATGCTAGTGTCTTCTTTGCTAACAAAGCTGATGCGGTGGAAGCGTGCTTTTCAAGCTCACGCGGCTATTACAGTAGCTTACGCATCGCAGCCGCTAAACGATCCGGCTAATTGTTCCCGTGATCAACCAATGGCCACTTTTGCTCTCTTTGTGTGCTACTTTGTGTCGGTTGTTTTGTTGTGAGGCATTTTGGGATCTTGCTAGCGTGAAAATTTGTTTTGGTGGTAGCCGCTTGTGAAAAGAACATCATAAATCCCGGTAAAAAAACTTTTTTTGATGTTCATTTAGTTAGCATGTTTTGGGTTTTTTTTCTTGCATTTTAGCAATCTTTTGTTTTTGTTTCGCAAGAGTGGATATTATACAGGTGTGTGTGTGTGTGCATGGTAGGAAAGACAGGATGACATCATTGCAAAAAAACTTTGTGTGTATGTATGTGTGTGTGTGCGTGCATGTAGGAAAGACAGGATGACATCATTGCAAAAAAACTGACCCCAATCCTGCCAGATCAACAGCTTATAAAGGATTGTACATACAAGACTAATTTAGTCACACAATCTCACGATTTCTATTCATTCAAGAGGTTTTTTTTTTGGGAGGGGGGGGGTGTCAGCGTCCCAGTTTCGGACAGCTGCCAGATTGCCCACGGCGAGCGAGAGTGGAAGATTGATGGTGGCTTCAAAGTGCCAGAGGGCTGATTTGGTGGCCGGCGGGCAGAGTTGATGTCATCTCTTCAAGTTGATGAGATTTAGCGAGCTAATGAAGAGGCTTTTAACGATGCGGGTGTGGGGCGGGTGTGGGGGGGGCTGGATGAAAAGCTTTGCATGCAGGTGAGTCATCTGGCCGCCGATGCTTTAGTCCTTGCCCGTGATCCGACGCAAGTTAACGCCTCTAAATCAACCGACTGTCTGTCACAGATGCTCCGATTTGTGCGGGACCGAGAAAAGTAGATGAGGCGTTCTTGACTTGCTTGGTGCAATTGTTTAGGCTTCAAGTGAAACATCTCGATCCTGATACAAAAAAGTCATTGAAAAGAATGCTACTGGTCGAAAAAGCGACAAACTCTCTGGCCGAGGGAACCATTCCATTTTTGCTAGCATCCAAATGAGCATGACACAGCGATGGAAAACAAAAGAGCGCGTCTTTCCCCCTCATTTGGATTTCCGAGGCCCAGAGCCGAATGTCCTCACAATTGATTTGCACGCTAACGTCACCTCCCTTTGTTTCGTCATGTTTGTCACGAGATCCAAAGGTCGCAAGACGATATTATCGCACCATGAACCTGACCATATCAGCAATGATCACCATGTGGTGGGGAAATTGGCCACATAAAAACCAAAAAAAAAACAAAACCTCATAATAGTGTACAAAAACCTCGCGGCCTAGTTTTCATCATCAAAACTAGCATAACGCATGGTTGGAAAGCGCGTCTCTTGCCTTCCCTATTTGAGGTTCGGAGGCTCAGAGCTCAATGTCGTCCCAGGCTAACTCCAGTGGCCTCGTTCGTTTCTCTTGAGAACCGTTTTCAGCGCTCTTGAAAATATGACCGAATGTTTACGATCTATCGTTTGGCACTTTTAACGTCTGAGGCTCCGTGTTTTGACGCCTTGTCGAGAAAGGCATCGAGGGACAGTCTAAAAGGTTATTGAGGCGCTCCATTTCTTGGGCCTGTGGAACCTCACTGCATTCCCTTTCGGCGACCAGTCCGTAGTGCCGGAACCAAGAGGGGAATCGGTCTGGAGGATTCCTTCCGATTTGGACGTCGAAGGCTACGACTTCCGTTTTCTTACGATCGTTGCAGCGACGTGCATTTCAATATATAATCTCGACACAATATTGAGTCGGGAGGAAATTGGAGCACGCCAGGAGGAGCGCGAAAACTATCTGCGCTCCGCCTCCTCCGCTTCCGCCATGTTGGAAGACAAATGACTTGGTTCGGACGCTCGTCCATCACGTCGCCCGAATCACTCAGTGTGTGTGTGTGTGAGAGTGTGTGTGAGTTTTCTACTATGTGATGACATCATCTCTAGGCCCAAAGCATTACCTCAGTCTCCTAATCGTACACACGCGCACGTGCACACTGCCCCCCCCAAGCCCTGCCCCCCTCCCTTCATCCTTTAACACTCGCCAGCATGACTCATTCCACTTTGATTGACAACCTTGTTCTGACCTTTCGACACACACACACACACACACACACACACGTTTCTTTTTGTGCAGACAAAGCAGTTTTGTGTTTGTCGATCTAAAAAAAGAGCAAAAAAAAAAAAAAAGGCACAGATCGGTGCATTGCGGGGGAGGGGAGGGGGGGCGCAGCAGGTGACTGGTTGCCTCTTCCCACGGCGTGTCGGGGGGCCAGCCAATGGCGCGGCGGCAGAGCCCTCCCCAACGGAACCCTAATCACCGAGCAGACTGTCTTCTGCACACGGAAGACGCAACGACGTCAGCGCGGCCCGAGGTGACGATGGTGCATTCACAAAACGAGGAGGAAAACAAATTCACATGCGCGCCCCCCCCCCACCCCCTCCCAAAAAAGAAAATCATAACACATGACGTCACGGCCAAGTGAGCAAATTTGGAGCTGGGGGGGAGGGGGGGGGCAGACTTGCTTCTGCTCCGGCATACGTCAAAGCTAACAGGTGAAACCTGAAAAAGCTCGCACACACACACACACACACACACACACACACACACACACACACACACACACACACACACACAC